GCTCACGACAGGCATTCGGCGTCGGAGTGTTTTCTGCCAGACTTGCAAATGATGGTAATGTTGTATTCTTGAAGTATCACAGTCAACCTCGCAAGGTGACCTGAAAGGTCCTTCAATTCATCTAGCGAACAAAAGTCGTTCTAATCGTTCACAACTTTGAAGGGCCTGCCGTAGAGGCAAATACAAAATTTTGAATGTGCCAGATCATAGCAAGGCACTCCTTTTCTGTTAACGAATAATTACTTTCAGCCTCGAATACTGACCGGCTACCGTCACTGATAACCCTTTCCAGTTTGTCAGTTTTCTGCACAAGGACGGCGCCGAGTCCTACGCTGTCTGCGTAAGTGTGCACTTCTGTTTCGGCGTTTTCACCAAAATCCACGAGTAACGGAGGTGTCTGTAAGCGCCGTTTTAGTTCCCCAGTCGCTTTCTCCGGGAGGGTTTCCCACTTGAACTAGACGTCAGTCCTCGTGAGGTTAGTGAGTGGCTTAGCGATGCGTGCAAACTTTTTTACGGAGTGCCTGTAAGAGGCGAGCATGCCGAGAAATCGACGCACGTCTTTTTTGACGGCGGGCGGTGGAAAGACAGTTATGGCTACTCTCTTCTGCTGTTCGCGTCTCACCTCAGATTTGCTTATCACGAGGCACAAAAACAGACATTCTTCGTAAGCAAAGCGGCATTTTTCTGGCTTCACGGGGGCTTGAAGTGCATTTTTAGGGCACCGAAGTGTGCGTCAAAATTTGAGGAAAATACGGCGGCGTCGTCTAATTAAACGAGACAACTGCCCTTTCGATCCTGAAAACACTGTGCCCATAACGGGTTGAAAAGTCGCAGGTGCCGAGCAAAGACCGAAAGGCGTAACCTTGAACTAGAAAAGGCCATCTGGTGTTTTAACACCGTTCTTTCTCGATCTCTCTCGTCGACTTCGACTTGTCAGTACCCAGTCTTGAGGTCTATCGACAAAAAGTACTTCGTGTTGTGGAGTCGATTCAAAGCGTCGTCTATTCGTGGGAGAAGATGAACGTCTTTTATTATGATTTTGTTGAGGTGGCGATAATCGTCGCCGAAACGCAGCGTTCCGTCCTTCTTTTTCACTAACACTAAGTGAAGCCCAGGGACTCTTAGACGGTTTGACAATTTCGTTGCGTAGAATTTTGTCGACATCTTTTAACGGCCTCATTTTCTCGTGTCGAAACGCTAGGGGCTCTGCCATGGTGGTCTGGTGGTTTCCTCTGTTACTATGTGATATTTCGTGACTACGGTCTGGCGAATTTTCGACAACAAAGTGTACTCGCTGTATTGCAGGAGCAGGGCCTTGAGCTGTTCTCGCTTATGCTTCGGAAGGCTCAGATTGACGTCGAAAGCTGGGGGAGGAGCTTCGTCCCATGGAGTAGATTCGGCCGAATCAGCGAGGGCGAGAGCATTGATTGTTTGCATATTTTCGTCAATGTAGCCGACCTTTGTACCTTTGTTCACGTGTTTGTGCTCGTTGCTGAAACTCGTGAGCATAACTCTTGCTTTTCCTCGTCGTAGCTCAGTAAGTCACCTAGCATCAGAAATATTGCGATTCAGCAATAGGTGCTAATTGCCTTCAATGACGCCTTCAAAGTCTTTTGGTATTGGGGTGCCGACAGATATGATAACGCTTGAGTGAGGAGGGACGGTGACTTTTTATTCAAACACATTCAGGACATGGCTTTATGAAGGCGTGCGCGGTGGTAGTGCTTTTTTCGTGGATAGTGTTGCCGACTTTTCTGTCAGGTCGATGACCGCACCGTGGAGGTTCAGGAAGTCCATTCCAAGAATAACATCTCTCGAGCAACGCTGCAGTACGACGAAACTTGCGGGATAAAAACGGCTGGTAATAGTCACTTTGGCTGCGCAGATTCCCGTTGGCGTTACTAGGTGACTTCCGGCTGTACAAGTTTCCGTGCCTTCCCAAGTTGTTTTTCCTTGTTCAAGTTCGGGGCGAAAGTACTACTGATGACGGAATAGTCAGCTCCGAGGTCGACGAAAGCTGTGATGCTGTGGCCTTTGTTGAGAATGTTGAGGTCGCTAGTTCGGCGCCTGGCGTTGCGGTGGGGTCGCGGCCTCAATCACGCCTAGGACGGTTTGCTTCGCTGCTTCTACATTGCGTCGTGATGTCTTCTGCAGGCTGTGAACGCTTGACTTCAAGACCCTTTCTGTCTTGTGTTAGGTGCTTTCTTTTTTTTGTGGTGGCATCGTCGTCGTCAGCGGCGGAGGATCTTCAGTAGTTCATCGTAGAGCAAGAACGCTGACAATGCAGGAGTTACTCGAACTGCAAATGAGGCGACGCCTGCAGTGCCCCGATGCCATCGTCAAGTAAACATACTCAAATAAAGCCATTCTGCACAAGGCGCCATACCTTCTAGCAGAAGAACGAATCTTTCCTTATTCTAAGCGGCATCTAGGATGACACAGGGGCCAAGCCACAGGTGGCCCAACTGTGTGGCACAGTGACTGAACTCATTGACAGAGTGGCTTTGCTCGGCGCGAGGCGTCGTGTAACTGTGTGTGGCAAGAACGATAAGAAGCCGCCTACGTCTTCATGAAGCCGTGGTCAGGGTTCAAACCAGCGGGTGTCAGCCATGAGCTCTGCTAACTTGCCGATTAACTAGCCGATACCCAACTCGCCCAGCAAATTTTCGTAAGCTCCGCGCACGCAGTCCATCGCTGCTCGTTCATGCTTCAACTGCGGCTACGTCGGTTACCTGTCCGTTTATTGTAGCAAGCCGAAAACGCCAGCAACGACCAGAGCGGACGAGAAACCAGCGAAGAGGGCAACAGCATCCGTTGAACAGAACTACGTCATCTAGGCAAGGGAACTGTCTTTGCATTCGATGGACAGCACATTACCAATAGTGTCTGGAACTGCTAACAAGCGATCCTTCCGCGTGTGCTTCGACAATGGCGACAACTTATCTATCGTGACTGCCGATGCCCTGACTGATGACATTCTCACGCACGCTCGGGTATAGCTCGAGGACGTTGAAGTTCTCAACCGCAGCATACGTCCAACTCTCCTGTGACGCTTGTTGTAACACTGGACACCACGAATGAGCAACACGAAGTGGTCGTGGTAACTGAACCAGGGGGGTGAAACTTCGCGGTTTTTCTGTCCCGTGACCGCAGCAATCCTAACGTTTTGGGGCTGTACTACCTAAATGAACGTTCTTGTTCTATTTTATAGTTATTACTAGGTTACTCATTAACTCCGAAGTTTTTACTACACAAGTGAACCTAAAGGTTGCACGTTCGGGATTGTGAAAATAAGAGCGCCACCCGAAGTGGAAATTGAGAACTGCGCAGTCGTCCTATCTCTCACGGCGAAAAAGGGGCGTTTCTTTTCGCGCGCCCATCTATGCTACAGCCTGCGGTGTCCGAAAGGCCGCTTTTACCGCTGTAAAGTTTGTTTTAGCGAAACCCATGCAAGATTCAGCCAAACAGACGCATCCATGGTTTCTCGCCGTCATCACAAATCGTGCTGCGCTGAGTGTTGTCGGAATTCTTCATGACACACCGGCATAAAATTCTTTCGGATCCCGGCGGACGAAAGGTACGATCTGCATGCTGCTCGTTTTGTCTTTCTACGCTTGCACGGCATATCAGGATGCGGTTGCTGCAGTAGCTGTGTAATTTAATTGAGCTTCACGTACTTGATTTATTCATTACATTCTGATTGTCTGCTTTTCGGCTTCAATTATACATGGCATGCACGGCAGAGCATCTGGAAATTATTCCAGCGAATACATTTGCTATGCATGATTGTTTATACTTGCGTTTTCAATTTATTGCGTTTCGATCGTGCATTGGATTTCGATGTTGCACTTTGGCTCAAGGCAATGCAAGGCATGTCACAAATGTATTTGTAGCAGCATATACAGTAACTAATAAACAGTGTAAGCTTATCCGCACTCTTTTTATTACCTTTTGATTGCCTGCGTTCAGTCTGTTCTCGTTGCATGTGTTATTAGTATTCTTGAATACTATTAGCCTATTTATGTTCATAGCTGGAGGAAGGGGATTCCCATAATCTTTTGGCTATAAGGGAGGGTCCATATACGTTCATAGCATGTGTTGTTAGTACTATGTTAATTAAGTACTGAGTACATAAAGTATTACACTTGCGAGTTTAGACGGATGTTATTACATTATTGCGTTTCAATTGTGTGTTTTCCTTTTGGCCTCACGTAAATCCACGGCATATTGCAGAGGAATGTAGCAATAAATTTATAAAGTAAAATTTTATAATGTATACTTCAATTTCGTGTTTTCAGTTTCAGCCTTAAGTACAATTACGATATATTTACAAGAATAGAATTGCAGCTAAAAGCCCATAAATAATTGGACAATGTAAACTTACGTGTTCTACTAATTTATTACTGGTTTTAATAAGGTTTTTATGAAAGATTTGCAGCAGGGCGCGAGAAATACCCGAGGAATACGCAGTGCGCGAGGGTATATATGTACGAATAGTTGTTTAGAGATTTTGGTGTGGGATGATTGCTATTGTCTGCAAAAATATATTTCGAATTAGGAGGAAAGCTGGGGTCGTTGCCACCAAACATTACTATCGCGCAAATAGAAGCATGTATCCGCGTCTCTTAATAATAAAGACAGATTTCATTTTAAAGTTTGCTTTCAGGATTGCTATCACAAGTCGTCTTGGTTACGAAAATTCAATTAAGAAAGGAAGATGAGAAATGTATCAAATAACGCTTACTTCAAATAAAGATGCCAGTTTTCACTCAAAGCTATCCATCTACGCCTGAAAACAGAAATAAATCCATTCTAACCCAAATACTATACACGCACACATTGATTTTCCAGATCTTGCACTTGGCTTCAGTATGCGAGACGGCAGGACCTGGCTCATTTACCACCTCGTCAGATATACAGCAGCTACCGCCTGTGCTCTGCCCATTTTACCAGCAGAGACTACGCAGACCCTGGACAGACAAGGCTGCTAAGATGTGCTGTGCCAACAGTTTGCATTTTTGGCGATGGGCAGACACACGTCGAAAGTCCAGGTGGGAATACTGTAAAGTGATCATACAACAGCACAAAATCTCATGCCTCTACATCTATTTACAGAAATGTCTTAATACTCAATATTTGTACCTGTCCGAGTTATCATGACTCAGTATTTTTAAGATTCTCGCGCAGATTACACCAACAATACCAGCGCATGGTGTACACAGCATCCATGGATTCGCCGGCATGATTTTGCTGGTAGATATAACTAGCTTAGTAAAAAAATTTGCCGGCTTCACAATCGTTAAATTTAGAGCAAACGTCTCATTCAGAACGCTCTACATGTAACCTCCTCTATTCTGATTCAGTTGTCTCTGCTATTTTACCCGTGGCGTAGCGTTTTACAGGAAAAGGCGAAAATGACCTCATAACTTGAGAGAGTACTCCATGTGGCGCATTATCAGCTATTTCGCACATGGCGAGTCAGTAGCGGCCAACTTGGTGTCGCTGTTAAAACAATTGCGCGATAGTACTGAGAGTGGGAGCAACAGAACTGGCCTTTTAGAAATATATATATATTCTACGACACCCTATTTCAAAGTCGCTTTTAAAATAAGAATCCAAAAGGTACTTCATTTTTATTAGTTTTATTATTACAAAGTTACTTTTATTTTCAATGGGCCAAATAAGTGTAATTGGCAAGAATTCGGTTACGCGCTAGGTCATCACGGGCACCACGATGTTAACCTGTTCTAGGCACATCGCATTAAGATTTTTAAAATATTGGTTTAGGATAGTTGGGACACCCATATATTTAGTGAGTGACACGTAGCGTTCTCTTTCTGTGTGTTTACACTTTTTTATTACTTGTACTGAGACATAATACGCGAGGAGACCAATTAATAGTGAGAAAACGGCCTGAGTGATTGTAATTGCAAATATTTAATGTGACGCCTAATAACAGCTGTATGTATGTCACGCTGAAATCTGTGCTCCGCCAATTTCTCTTCACAGGCTCTCCTCGGCCCGCGAATACCACTGCAATGCCCGCTCACAGCGCCGATGAAGAAGTTCAACAGACTGAGCCCTCATGTACGCAAATTGTATTGCTCTCTAAGTTCTTTAAAACTATTCCAGATAAATTAATGCCCTGCAGCTATCGTTTTAATGTCACGTACCATTTAACAGATCCTAAAGTGCACTAGGGTGTCAGCTGGGCGTGCTAGTTCATTGCTAGGGGACGAGAACCAGAGCGATGTATACCGAAAGGCAGGACGAGACGAGTGCTTGTCCGATCCCTTTCTTGCTTGTTTGTTGCCTCCTAAGAGAGATTAGTGCCCCGCCGCGGTGGTCTAGTAGTTATGGCGCTCGACTGCTGACCCGCAGGTCGCGGGATCGAATCCCGGCCACAGCGGCTGCATTTTTGATGGAGGCGAAAATGTTTGAGGCCCGGGTGCTTAGATTTAGGTGCACGTTAAAGAACCCCAGGTAATCGAAATTTCCGGAACCCTCCACTACGGCGTCCCTCATAATCATATCGTGGTTTTTGAACGTTAAACCCCAGATATTATTATTATTATTATAAGAGGGATTAGTGTTTTTTAAAGAAGACTATGAATTCGTTGTTTTTTTCCTAAACATACCATTTTAAACGTATAACCAATAATGTTTGTTAACAAGGAGTATGCTAATGATTAGGAAAAATTAGTTGACGCTTCATGTTGCCCGCGATGCTTATACTTGCCATTAGTAGGCTCAATGCTCAGCAGTGTGCTTATCAGAGGCCTGTTCCCAATGCCCCAAGTTTGAATAAGTGAAGGATCGAGAACTAAATATGACCAACTGATTACTCATGGAAGTAATCACTTCAATTCTAAAAGCCGCTAGAACTTTTACTAGGTTTGAAGATCATGGTCAGCTTTCACAAAAACACAGTATAAATGAGCTTTTTTTTCTAAATTTTTCAGGTTCCAATCCAGCGGGTCGACAACACAAGCCTTCTAGGGGCTCGCCCCGGACAGCCAGAAAAGTGAAGAACCTGGAGAAGATAAATTCAAGGCTTCGGAAGGCACTGTCAAGAATTGGCAAGAGAAAGGTTAAAAAGCTTTCCCAGTCCGAGGTGTTGAATGCTATCAGGCCCTACGTCCGCAAGACATTCTTTAGATTGCTTGAGACTCAAGTTAAAGTTAATGGCGTGAAACGTAGAGGACGGAGGTGGTCGCCCGAGCACCGCCAGTTCACTTTAAACTTATACTTTCATGGTCCGAAAGCGTACAGACATCTGTCAAGACTGCTTGACATGCCAACTGTGAGGTCGCTAAAGCAGTGGTTATCAAATATCCCGATGACTCCCGGAGTTATTCCAACCGCTATTGAAGCCCTCGAAGAAGCTACCCGAAATTGGCATTTAACAGATCGTGCGTGCACATTAATATTTGACGAAATGTCCTTGAAGGAACATCTGCAGTATGATGCAAAGCATGACATTGTGATGGCATTCTCCGATGACGGTAGGCAAAGAGCACCAGCCGTGGCAAATTCAGCGCTCCTGATACTTGTGGCAGGCATTTCAAAAACGTGGATTCAGCCTGTTGCTTACACAGTATCAAAGACCAAAACGCCCGCAGATACTCTTCATCATCTGATCATAACATTAATCAAGCAGCTGCAGGGAGCCCGGTTGTTTTTGAAGGCGCTCATCTGCGACCAGGGGGAAAGCAACATCACTTTGGCAAGTAAGCTAGGTGTGACGCCTGAAGAGCCGTTTTTTGTGCTTGAAGGCCGCAAGATTTATTCCCTATATGACACACCACACTTAATTAAATGCACAAGGAATAATCTCCGCGCACCTCACAAGCTGCATATCGGGCAAGAAATTGTGGATTGGTCTTTCATTACGCAAATATACGAAAGCTCGCATCCTCTCAAACTCAAATTGGCGAAGAAACTAACCGACAACCACATTTACCGGAAGCCTTTCAATAACATGAAAGGTAAATATGCCAGCCAGGTGATGAGCGAATCGGTCTCAGTGGCCATTGATGTATTCATTGCTCTTGGCGTGTTGCCAGCATCCACCAAACCAACAGCTGATTTTCTCGAGAAGATAGATAAGTTATTCGACTGTCTGAAAGCTCTTCTGTAAAAAAAGCCAGTGACAAGTTACGTTATGCAATTTCGGAAGGGTCCGAACACCTAGCCTTTTTGCGGGAGTGCCTGCCGTGGGTTGAAAGGTGGAAGTTTGACGAGCCTCGGCAATTACACAGAGTTGAGGCATGGAAGGTCACCTAAAGGCTATCCTTCTCCTCTGGGACGACTTCTTCCAAAATTTTGATTTTCGTGTTCTCTTGACTCGCTGGCTACAGCAGGACCCCCTGGAGAACCTTTTCGGGCTTCTTAGGTTAAAGCATGGCTGCAATGACAACCCAAATGTGCTTCAGTTCACATCAGGTCTGAAACACATTTCTGTTGGCAAACTGGTTGCCCTTTTTTCAGAAGGAAACTGTGAACAGGATCGCAGCACTGTGTTGGCACAAATGTCAGAGCCACCTCATTCGCTTCCTACTACTTGTGATGTAGCACCAACAGTCGATATGCTTCCTGATGAGGAACAGCCCGTTAGCCATGATATAGTAGAGGATAACGTTCTCTACTATGTTGGGGGATATCCCGTACGGCAATTTTTGTTGCACAGGCCTCCACACTGTGTGTGAAACACCCTTTTGAAGAATGCCGACCGCCAGCTTTGTGCATCACACCAGTATTTCGCTATGTTTAAGGGAAGCAACTTCTCCTCAGATTTATTTGGCAATGTAACAATGCCTTCTGTCGATTGCTTTCAGGATATTAAGGCCATGGAAGCTTGCTTTTTGGAATATATCGGTGTTTTGGCGCACCTGCCTAATGTGAGTAGAGTTTTGGCAGGCATTTTGCACAGTTGTATGGGAAGGCAAAAATTCTGATCTGAAGAATGCAAGAAGGCCTTTGTGCACCTCTTTGCAAGGATTTGCCTGTTGTGGCATATTCGCTTCGGGAACATCTCCTTGGCTGATCAACGCACCAGAAAATCTGCCGCAGCACGAAAAATGTTGAAGTTTTTGTAACTTTTAGGATTCTGTTTGCATATTTGAGGTCTTGAAAAACTGAGCGCTCAGAAAACATGGACGACAAAAAGACACACATATGCGCAAAAGTAGGCGCTACTTCCATATTTTTGAGTCACCGCTACTTCTATAGCTGAGGTCACCATTTTCTGCCTCTGAAGCGGTCATGTGTACTATTTATCTGCTTGTATAGTTTTTTTGTTTTTTTAATTAAGCAATATAGGTATGTTACGCTGAAGAAAGCATAAACCCTTCGTGTTATTTTATGAGAACACTCAATAGTGGCTTGAGTATTTTGTAAATTTTCGCTTAAGCTTTTAAAAAGAAACCCGATGCTGAATAGAAAATGTAGCAATGTGTTATTTTATGAGAACACTCTATAGTGGCTTCAGTATTTTGTAAATTTTTGCTTAAGCTTTTAAAAAGAAACCTGATGGTGAATAGAAAATGTAGCAATGTCTAACTCCGGTACCTTATGGTTTTTGTATAATTTCCTCTTGCATCCTGAGTGTGCGGTGTGCCGTATAATCTTGTCCCACTCATGGGATGATTTTATATCGGGATACGTGCTGTGAACGTGTGTATAGTTAGTACTGTTTTTCTTTTGTCTGTATATACGTATGTGCGGCAATGTGCACTGGATTGATACTAGGTTATTAGCATGCTGGCATGTGCGGTCCACTTTTGTATGCGATCAAAAACGTAAAACATTCAAGTTGTATTTGTACTGCATAAACCGTACGTTTAGGCAATAAAACATTCAAACAAACTCTGCTCTTTATTCTTGTCTAATTTATGTGTACACGTAAACAAAAACAACGTCTTACTTAGAATAAGTAGTGCACAAATAGGTGGATGGGCAGACCATCAATCAGAACGCAATGATGGCCGTTTTCATCATGTGGCGGGTTGCGCATCAGGAAGAAGGTCGCGTGCTTGCCATCTGAATACCTTCCACTCGCTCAATTTGGCTTGCTGGTGCATCCCAATTGAATTTGGCGCTAAATTCCCCCCCCCCTCCTCACCTCGGATCCTCAGTCCTCATCAAGATGGCGTCCCCCAGTGCATGTCTGCAATGCGCCGCCATGTTTTCGTACCGCCCCCAAACACCAGGCGTTCGTCCGGCGCTGCGAGCGAATATCGCGTTCCATGGAGGGTATAGGAAGTTTCACTCCCCTGACTGAACTGCCCAGCGGCGTTGACCTGATTCTGGGAACGGACTGGCGACGAGTCACAAACGTCCACGTAACGCTTCACACGTCCAACGATGTGACTATCATTTCAGTCAAGCTCACCGCAAAATCTTCATTGTCTGAAGTGCCACCCTCGAAACAAAGCGAGCCACACTGCATCAGGGAAGCGCTTATCGCGCCATTCTGCCAGCAATCGGACGAGAGCGTTTCAAAAGGCGAAGGGTACATGCGCCTCATCAAAAATTGTTCCGCACCCGACGAAGCTTTTACGAGTCTAGTCGAAGACGCCAAATGTAGGATGCCACCGAGGCAGAGATTGAAAAACTTTGCGCATTTCTGTTAACTCATCACTGCAGAGTGGTCCAGGCAGCCGAAACACGGGGCTGCAATAATCACCTATTTTTTCACTACGCAGTGGAAATCCTGCTTCGTTCAGACACGAACGTCGAAGGCGCATGGCCCTTTCATCGCTGGAATAGCTTCTGTGCCATCACCGCCCCTTGGTCTACCCTGGAATCGCCGATACTGCGCATGTGCTGGAGCAACTGACGTTATGGTCTTCAAGATATAAAAGACAGCAGCTTCGGCTCACGGTCACTCACTGCAGAACGGTCCAGGCAGCTGAAACACGGGGCGGGAATAATAACCTATTTTTTTACTACGCAGGTATTTGCGCAGAACACATTTCTTAATCATTAGGTCTTCTAGCTTTTAAGTAGCTCCTGGACCGCTCTGTACTGCAGGTATACTAACCCTTAGTGTACTTGTGAACAGATGAAACATGTTGACGAAGTGCCGACGACCATAAAAGAGGTAGCTAAACTCATTGCCGAACTTTCGGCTAAGGTAGAAACGCACAAAAATGACTTGAAATCTGAAATGCAAGAACTCAAACAAACAATTCTGTTCGTGGATAGCCATTTTGAGGATCTAAATGAAACGCTTGAGACGCTGAATAGAGATAATGCAGCCTTAAAGTAAGATAACGCGGCACTGTGTGAGGGCCTTGATGCAGCACGCTGTGAAATAAGAGATCTGAAGCAGTACAGCAGACAGCAGAATCTTGATATTCAAGGGTTCCCAATAAAAAAAGATGAAGACCTGGCTAGTAGCATAATAGCATTTGCTGAAAGATTTGCAGTACCAATAACTTCGGAGGAACTTCACGTGGTTCATCGAGTGCCCTCAAAAGACAAAACCAAACCAAATGGGGTCGTGAGATGTCGGTCACGCTCAACCCGCAACCGAATCCTTCAAGTGGTGAAAAAAAAAGAGAATTACCCCAGCAGATTTGGGTTATGAAGGCGAAGGACCTGTATTTGTAAATGAGCATATTTGTGCAGAAAATAAGGTTCTATTGGGAAAGGCAATATCGAGGAAGCGTGAAAAAATTGGAAATTTGTTTGGTTTTGCAGTGGAAAAATTCTGGCAAAAAAGCTGAAAACTCCAATGTCATTCATATCCACTGTAAAAACAATATTTCTCTAATAATTTGAATGAAAAAAAGCTTGTATGAAATGGACGATGAGATACAATCTGCAAGCCCCTTTGCAGAGGTGAATTCTCGCCATAGCCTCGTCCATTAAGTTATACGTAGCATGCAGAAAAATATGATAAATTTCTGTACTTTACTTTCATTTCACACTTTTCATTTTGATTACATAGCTGTTTCCGAAACTTGGCTAAAACAGAGTGAAACTTACAGCATA